TATATATATATATATATCTCCGAATTCATAAATATATTACTAAATATATTTAACTTAGTCTCTCCCGCTTTCAGTTTTTTATTTAATCAATATCTCCCGCATAAACTGTAAACACATTGCAAACATAGTTTTGCCTCTCGCGGACGCTAAAATATGATGCTAGAAAATTAGATGCAAATGTGAGAGTAGATGTGAATAGAAGTACAGAATTAGAGCGTATCGCGTCCGGATGCAAATACGATGTTTGTTGCTGTTTGATTACACACTTTGCGAAGCAGAGTTGATACGCTGCTGAAATTACAACACGGCAAAACGAATGTAACGATAACAGAATTTTCATAGAAACATCGTCGGCAAGCATCGCGCTAATGAAACGTGATTAATAAGTCAAGTAACAATGATGAATCGGCATGCTTCTTGACGTAGAATCAATGCAACCTACTAGAAAAAAGCTGTGGGAGGGAAAAGAAAAGGGAACTGAAAATCGCAGAAGTATCTCGCGGACAAGGATGAAGGGGAGGTGAGGGTTCACTAAAAATTAAAGGCATTGCGCATCCTCTTTTAAGTCTGTGGGATTGATACAATTATTTCCTAATTAGCGCAATCCGGACCGTCGTTGACGTAATTAGCATTCGTAGAGAACGTCTGGCGACTGATTAAAAAGATTGGCGTATTTGACGGCGCAACAAACTGTGCCGCTCTTTAAAAATCAGCTTGAAAGTGAGGAAAGAAATACATGTAGCGCATAACTTTTGCGCTTCGTTAAACGGGATGACATTTAAGTATCAGTGGAGATACTGGGGACAAACGTTAAGAAGGCGCGGGAAGACTGCATCATCGTTATGTCACTTAGGTCAATCGCATATGTTAATCAAGTGTTCCTTATTGCTGCAACGAGGCTGCGTCAGCTTTGTCGATAAGTCGTGTCGTCACACGAGATGCCTGAGAGAAGGCTTGATTCTCTTGATTGTGAGTTTTAAGCAATTATCCGCGTCGCAACAATAACGCATAAGATATCCGGCGACTCTGCGTCACCCTATACGTACGACGACGCGATCGAAACGGAATCCGCTCGCTTGCTCGCGCTGATTGTGAGTTCTATACGAAACGAGTTACACACCGCTCCCCCAGGATTTCTCCGGCTTTGTAACAACGGTCTAACGCGGCCGTCTATTACGCGTCTGTAACGTATGTAGGTGTGCAAAACAGTGAAAGGTTTTTCAAGGCGGGAAAGCAAGTGACACCTACACAAAGGCGTCGTACGCGATGCGAAAAGGCAAGGCCGTTTCGCGCAGATAAAAGTTCGAATGGCGCGCGCGCGCGCGCGCGCGCGCGCTCTTGCGAAACCGATTCCGAGCCGCCTGTCGCAACAATAATGACGCGTAATGGAATAGCCGCGCAAAGACCGCGCGCCGCCAATTAGATATTGGATATTTGCTGGCTCGATCGATCGCTTTTCCGCGCGCAATTACTCGTCGTCTCGAAGCGAGCCTGTTCGCGCCGTTCGCTCGCTTCTTTCCTTCACCGGGATCCTTTCCTTTCGACGCAATCTCTCTGTCCTTGAGATCGACATTTCTCGGGCACCTCACCTATACGGATCGAACCGCGGTTTTTTTTTTCGAGAACACGTAACGTAATTTATTCCAACGATTGCGGCATATACACGCAATCGTCACGTAATATTATAGATTCTCGTATTTATTCGCGCGAACCTTGGTTCCTCGCGGCAGCCGATTCGCGAGATTTATATGCGCCATTCTTTTTTAAGCCGGGGCGTTCGGCTGAAGTTTAAATCGCATTTTACGGCCAGCGCCTCTTTCGCGGATGCAAAACGGCCGATTCGCGCCCTCGTTGCGAACGCGCGAACGTTCTCGCGGAACACGAAAGCGCCAGTCAATTAGCTCGACGATTTGACCGTATCGTTGCTAAGCAAGCGATATGCATCATCCTAGAAAATTGCGGGCCGAATAGCATTCAGGGCATAAAGTCGACAGTCATTGCGCGCGGGATAGATCTAATTAGAATAAAAGCGCTGAGTTTCAATCGATGAAGATACCTGCACGTATACTGATGTAAACATGATCTCTCTTCTATCTCTAAAATGTAATAAAATTGTGATTCAATGTATTATGTAATATTATAAAAAAATTTTATTTGTGACTTGATTATCATTAATGCTAAAAACTGCTAATGCCTGGAGTGCTAATAACCTATCAAATTTCCGCTAATAAAAGTTCGATACTAAATCCATCGAAGAATATGTGAAAGAAATTTCATACGTTAATGAAACAGCGTGTGCACGCCGATCGCCGTGTACCTACGCAGATCTCGCGAAACTCTCACCTCGCATTGTTCGGCGACTCTGCGCGCAACGCCGCAGGAGTAAGACGTAATCCGCCGCGCGCATTTGCGCTCTGTATACCGCGAGTCAACCTGGTTAACGTAATTGGCCGGGATCTTCGGCCGTAACTAATTACGGGCCCGGTATATAATAAGCGCGCTCGGGCGGCGCCGCGCGGCTTGCCCAAGATTTGTTGCGAAAGAAATTTGAAAGCTCTTCCTCCTCGGGCGCATCGTCCGGGGGCTCGGATTAGTTTTGAAAGGAGGCGGATTGCGCGATTCGCGACAGGAAAACACATATGACGGACGGTTTCGCTGCAGACTCGCAATGGTTTGCCCGATTCCGCTTTCACAAGCGAATCACAGGACGCGCCGTATAAAAATAAGAACGCAATCAACAAGAAGTACAGTTAAACGCGTCAGAAAGTAGAAAAGTACAAACTCCGAGATAAAGGGAAATTAAATAGGTAGTTATTTATCTCAATCGAGGCTTAATCGTTAACAATCAACTTGATATATCTTTAGAATGTACTATCCTTGTAATGGAGAAAGGATTGCAGGCGACCAGTCACGATGCAACAACGCGCTATTAAAATGTATATTTATACTTCTGTATTTTCTTTTTTAGCGTGCAATTAAGACGGGATTACTTGTCGGTGAGTCAGTTTTAGCTTTCAGTCGTCGGATGAGGAGGTTTCTCGATCGTGCTGTTAATGCGCTTTAGTCCAATTCAATCCGGGGTTTCTGACTTACGACAGGTTTGACATCGTCGACGTCCGTGCTTGCATTGCAGCCGCCCGGCGGGATTGCGTAGCCGGGTAATTCGCAGGATGATTTATTGAGCGGAAGAGATTTCCGCGTTTCGCGGCAAGCCGAAGTCGCACAGATACACGCGTATGCAGCACGTGGACGTATTAAAACCACGTTTGTCAATTCCAGCGTGTTATGACATGTCGATTTCGCGCGCGTGCCAACGAGAATTGTTTCCCTCTATACGACGTTCCCCCGATATGACGTATACGGACACACCTGACTCGTTCCTTTTCGTTGCACACAATCAGATTCCGTCATTCTTCTGTAACTTCTGTAACAATCGCGCTCCTCGCCGTACGTCAAGAAAGCGTTTTTCGCAATAAATAAGATTGTTTTTTATTAGCAATAATCGAAAGGATTTCCGTCAGAGATAGCTTATAAACTATCATCAAAACTAACTTAATTCACGCTATACAATAATGAATCTCTTCCACTGATCAGTTAGAGATATAAAAACGTCTTGGTCCTCGGGACGATGTGAATTAAGAGCGACGTAAAGACGTCATATACATGTATATGTCCGAATATCTTCCAAGCGATACACGCGAGACTCTCGTTTATAGCGGCAATATTGAAAAGAAGGGGCCACTTCGACGAATCGTCGGGCGGTCGTTAAACAAATACGTTTCCGCATCGTCGAGACACTGACAGGCACATAAAATATGGCAATAAATGTCCGTTCAAATACGGGCTCGATAAGCGGAAGCGCGTCGTCGAAACTCGAAGGGCACGAATGAACGGAAGATGAAGGAGGTCGCGATATTCATCGAATATCGCGACGACGCAGCGCGGCACATTTCGACCTCCGCGAGCCACGCGACCTGGCAAAGTCGATCCCTCGTTTCATCCATCAAGCTCCCTTGACACAAATTTATCGTCTTTTAAGCGCGACTTGACGCATCTGGAAAACAAGTATACATTTATAATTCTAGAATTTTGCAATGGCATACTCCTTGACGTCGCACGATTGCACCGTTCGCCGTCGTTTGTCTCATTCCCGGAATTGTGCATCCTTAAATTTTGCTCAATAATCTTAATCATACGTTTTACCGTTCATCCAGGCCGTAACTCATCGCTTGTTAGACATAAAGACACCTCACATACAAATTTTGCGTTGGTTAAAACCTCGGAGCGAGCGAACGATAATTGCATCATATCTGGGATAATTAGGAACAATAAAAATAACTAGCATGGAAAGCAGTAATAGGCATCTGCTGCCGGTGATAAGGTAGAAGACGGGAACAACCGAGGACGACGAAGACAACGAAGACAACGACAACGACAATGATGGGGAAACGGGCAAAGAAAGAGGAAAATGGGCAAACTTAGTGGCACGTCTACGAGAAATCTATACACAGGGACATCCCT